CGTTAGGGCCCCAGCGAGCGCCGGTCGACGGGAAGCGTGAGCATTGTGTTCGATTTATAAGTCACCAAAGGGCGTTCGCTTGCGCAGATCCAACTTAACAAAGTCAAGGGACCGAGCGAGCGCAGACGAGCGTTACCTTGTTAGTCTAGTGTATTACAAAATACGTTCGCGTTCTGTCTCTCCGCTAAATATAGAAATGGAAAATATGGAATAAAGAGTGCATAGGCTGATCAGTCAACACATGAGCCACATATTAATGCACAAGACAAAAGAAATGCTATGTAAAGAAAAATAAAACACAAGAAAAATTCGGATAAACAAAAAGAATGATAGTAACAAACACTTTTTTCTCCTACTGTCGATGTCGCACGAAAGCGATCATCTGTAGTAAAGGAACTAGTAAGCAATGAAGTTTACGTGGGGCTAAAGGTACAAGATTCGTTGAATTGAAAATCAAATCGGACCAAGTCGAATCCAGTAGATAAAAGTTGGGAAATTAAATTTGCCACACAATTGTCTCTAAATTGAACTGCAGAAAACGCTTTTTTCATAACAAAAATTAGGAAAAAATAGTTCAAAAAGTGTTATTCCTAATTTTTGTTATGAAAAAAGCGTTTTCTGCAGTTCCATTTAGAGACAATTGTGTGAAAAATTTAATTTCCCAACTTTCATCTACTGGATTCGACTTGGTCCGATTTGATTTTCAAGATTGAAAACTGTATTTATGATTTTTTACTAGGAAGCTCGGCTTCTAGAAACACAGCTCGTGCAAATATTTTTTAGAGAATTAAACTCTCTATCTATAAGACGCCAGATTCAAGCCTTAGAAATGCGTTCTTCATGGGAAAAATAGGAGTTTACTATATTGTTTGATCACTAAACGGTTTGAGTACCCAGTAAAAATTGACCAGTCAAGCAGTATAAGTACTGGTACTGGTACTAATGCATACCTAATCTTGGCCCAAGATTAGGTACGCAGTAATTTTATTCACATCTCTTAAACCTCTCTTTCAATTATTCTGCACTTTAAAGGTATCATTAGCTTATTCAATTCTTCGTATCACTTTTATATATACGCGTGTCTTCGCTAGACTCCGTACAAATAAGATATATATATTGCAGGTGAAATTAATATCCAACATCCAGTGAAGTTTAAAATTCTCCTAGTAGAAATTAAAATTTTAATTGTTCATAGTGGAAATTAAAATCAACATATTCACAAACATGAAATCTCAATTATCTGACTTTAGAGCTCGAAGTTTAGTTTTCTGTCTTTTCATCAGGTAAAGATTAAGAACAAAACGGCGAAAACATTTTCATGGAAAAATAATATTAGTTTCAAAGTTTTTGTTAAACTTTTGGCAGTAGTAACCTTTGGCTGAATACGAAAAAGCATTTTTCCGCAACTCCAAAGGAACTTTATTTTTCTGGCGGTGATATGTGATTCTCGCCGGGTAACACAGGAATAGTCAAAGTGCAAACAACTGATCTTTGACTCACCGAATTCACATATCAATCCCATCGAGAATTTTAAAGGTTTGTTCGACCAACACCGATTATAGATGGAATATGATATAACTTATAATGGACAAAACATCGGAAGAAACAATAATCCTCATAAAGTTTCTTTAGACCCGTACCGGTCTAGATCCAGAGTAATCATTCCCCATACAAATATTTTTAAAATTATCATATCTCTTCCTGTACCTTCAAGTACCGAATGTTTCTTAAAGATTTCCTAAATCAAGAAAGCTTTTTACAATATCCCTGTCTGATTACAGTTACTAAATTGTTAACCAACTATATGTGTGCTTAAACAAAGATGTTTTTCTGCTTGTAATATGCCTGTAAATAGGTTTATCAATATTGCGTTAAACAGAAATAGAGCTATATCAAATAAGATTGATAAACAGGATATTGATCGTCGAAGGAATAGATCACAAATGATGTGAAACAATGAATTCGACAATATAAAATTCTCTTTGCACAGTACACATGGTACTGCGAATCTGTCGGGATATCGAAGTTTTATTAAAAACACTTTCATTAAAAGGAAGTTCATTAAAATTTTTGAGAAACTTCCTGTGTGTTCGGTGACTCTTGATTTTCATTAAAGTTTTTAATGAAATTTTCGTGCCATCAAAAAATTTTAGTGAAACTGTCGCAGTCACTCTGCGGGAGTCACTTTAATGAAAGTTAGTTGAACAAAATATAAGTTAACACCCGAAAATAGGTATGTTTAAGCGGAAAAAAATTATGTAAATATCGCGTAGCGATACATATAGAAAGTGAAACAGGTATCTTTTGCTAAGTGATATATATATATTAGCTATAGAAAATTTCAGGAAAAGAATAGTGGTCTTTAAGGGGAGGGTCAGTTCAGGGACTCTGGATTTTCATTAAAATTTTTAATGAAGTTGTTCTGTCATCAAAAAATTTTGATGAAATTCTTGTGTCATCAAAATCATTTAATGGAACTACTGTTAAAAGTTTTTTAACGAAAGTACCGGTACTTCCATTAAAAACGTTTTTAATGAAACTTCCGGTACTTTCATTTAAAAAAACGCTTTAAAGACCTGAGACAATTTTGTAGGGCGCTTTCTGGAGGATAAAAACGTGGCCGGTTTATGAGAATTTGTTTTCCACTTCTCCAAGCGTTCTATGTACTAAGACACGATACACTTCCTTTAAATGCACCAACCATCAGCCATAAACGACGTTATCGTACTAAAGAAAACCACTACAAGAAAAGTTGACACAAATATTCGTTAGTTATATTTTGTAAACGTCAAAAGCGGTATAATCCATTGAAAACAAAGAAGTCAATGATTTTTATTCTAATTGATAAAATACATAAAATTTCCATTCATTTTATGAAAACTAGCTATACACATGTACAAAACAAGTACAATTTTCGAAAAATAAATAGTAAATACTATATACACAAAAAATGACTGTTTTTATCATTATCTTTCATGATGTTTCAAATGATTGTGCATTGTTAATAAATAAGTAAATACACATTTTTTATCCGGTTCATTTCCCATTTTTAACATGTCTTCCGTTTCAAGTAATGGATGAATTTGGGCTCGTTCTCTGTATAATGGAAAAAAGATAAACCACTATTTTATTGATCTATAAAATTTTCCAATAAAAATAACTTACTCAGCAATACGAAATGCAAGATCAAAATTTATTTTATGCTCATCTCGTATCAGTGCTTTATAGTCAAACGAATCGGGATAATAATGATGAATAATAGCACAAAATGCTAGACCATCAGCAAAACTAGACGTAAAATTGGTAATTTTTACATTCTAAATAGATACAAAAGTGGATGAATAGCAGCAATTCCATGGACTATGGATAAAAATCGCTTGTGACTATGGTATAAGGGAGGTGAAAAAAGATGACAAAATAACTAAGTGCTGGAACATATATAGTCTATATGTTTCACTATAACTCCTTCAGATTTGTGCAAAATTCGAAATGATATCCTTTTTTATCAGATACTTGCTAATCCCTCTAACTTACATGAATCACCTTATACAAGATGATCTCTTTCAGCAATAATCTCAGCAACTCATTCTTACCTCATAATCTTTTGTTACATTTTGACACCATTTCATTAAACGTTGTTGTGCTTCTTTATATGATGGTCTTCCTGACATGTCACGTTTTATTTTTTGTCAACTATGTTAACGAATTGAATTAATTCAACAAAAAAAGAACTTATTTTTTCTTTTTCAAATGAAATGCCATATATCTGTTGAGATGCACAATGCAATTTTATTTTCTAAACAAAACATTTTTGTTCAATCATCGTGTTGCATTATTTATTTATTTTTCAAGAGTATGTGAAATACTATTTCTTTAAAACAGGACAATAGGTTATGCTGTATACAGCCAATATATTATAGTATGTTAGAAAAAAGAAATGAGATCATTTAACATGATCAAAACAGGAACACGAACGAAAAAAAATTTTGATTGAATGACGACGACTTTATACATAGACATGTTTCCGTTATAGAGATCAATAAAATATGCACTTTTGTTCTATAAGGTAATGATGAATGGGTCTCATGATATATCGTTACTACTAGATATACATATAGATATATAACGGAACTAGATAAAAACTTCACTAAAATGTGTGAATAGAGCGGCAGATTGATAAGTAGTTTCGTCAACTAGATTTTAGATTGAGTTAGACTTGATTCTTGTAGCAGAAAACACCTACATATATATTTCGTAGAACCCTCTGATGATCTGTTCGATTGCATACACAATCGTCAAACACAATTATTGTATGAAAAAAACAGCGCATGAAAAGGCATAAAGACTTGATACTCTTTTATTCTATATGCTACGGACTTCAGAAACAATGTTATGAAAAACAAACCGTTATATTGAGAGAAGAAACAAATTTTTATAAGACACAAAATCAAATGTTATACTCACACATTGAACCATGCATATTTTAGAATATCTTGACAATGTGTAAGATATTCTATGATACTAGATTAACGGCGTCTACGCTATGATACGTCTGAGGCCAAATGTCTCAAATGTAAAAAATGAGGTGATACATCTTTGAAAATTTTTTTGCTACCATGTCAAATTTGAGCAAGGGCGAGAGAGTTGAAGTTAACGTTCGAAGAAATGCGCGTTGGAAGGAAATATGTGGTAGTTTCTGTTAAGATTCGAAAATGGAACGTTTACAGAATACAGAAGTTGGATGCTATGAGTTTTAGGCGTGGGATGTTTTAGAATTTAATTCCTGCTACTTCGCAGCAGAACACAGAGTATACATCTTTGTTACTACTCATACATATGAAAACCTTTTCTTCGTAGATTAAATATTAAGAAAAATTTGCAAGTTACAAGCACAGCACTGTTTGTAAGACTAATTATAATCATAAAGTTGTCACATAAGTTAGACAATTGAAAAAAATAAATTTTTTATAGATGGTACAAAATGACAGATGGCGCTTTATGTCCCAACTATTTAGGTGGGAATAGACGGTGCTGTGTCAGACAATACGTTCTGTAATGAATACATAGATCTTACCTGTAATGCAATTTAATGTTCAATGGTTAAATATATATTGAACTAAAGAAAGAAAGAGTGAAAGCATATAATAGAATAGAAAAGTAGTTATGAAATCGTAATAGTTGTATTTTTTGTGGGTATGGAAGGAGTAGATTTAAAGTTCTCTTTCTCTCTCTCTCTCTCTCTCTTTCTCTCTGTCTCTATGCTCTCTCTTTTGTTGCACGTTGTTTGGACCTTTACATATTCAAATTATTATAGAACAGGCAAACTCTGTCAAATGACCTTTTTGACGTGAGTTGTAAACTATACATTCATTTTCAAAAACCAATAATCTTTGTCAACCACTCAATGTTCAATACTACTAGAGTTACGAAAGAAGTTATTTAGAGATGAGAACAATGGTACAATAATTATTCTGACGTACATTGTAAAAACCGCAATAACATTTGCGTGTTTCAAAAAGCAACTTTATGATCTCGATAAAATCTGACCATAAATATTCAAATCTCCATGTAACGTCTTATATGTGCCCAAAAACTATAAAGTGGAATAAGTCATTGGAACACGAAAGAATGAAGTATATAAAATATCTCATCAGTGTAATGGTATGTAAAGACTAAAACAATTTAGAAATCAATTCCTGTACTTAAATATGAATTTACCCTTAGGATATACTGTAAATTAATCGAAATAAAAAAAGTTGTAATGGAATTTGTGACATTTACTAACAATGTACCATCCGTTATAACTCATAAAGAGTATATTAATGGAAATTAGAAAATCTATTTTTTGTCATAACAATGCTTATATTATTGTTATATGTTGTCAAAAAGTGAGGATGAAAAGAAACAAAATAGCTGTCAGTCATATTTTAAAATCATAATATTACTAGCTTTTTCTTTGTTCTCTAAACCTCAAAAACTGTATAGTATATAACACGTACATATATTCGCGAGTATTTGTAAATAAGCAATCGTTCACTAACATTGTCAAATTGAAATTGGATAAAAATATAAGATAGAACGTGTCGAACTTTGTCCAATAACATTCACTAATACTAATACTGTGCTAAAACTGGAAAAAAAAGCCAGTAAATCTATAGATCAAAGAAATTTATAGAAAAATACTTTTAGTAAAATATTAAAGTTCTATGAGTGTTTTTGACGTTTTTTGAATGTTACGAAATGTTGCATGTTGTTGAAAAGAACTGGAAGCGTTCTATCTTTAAGGTTTATCAAACTTTAACTTGGCAATGGTTGTGGATAATGGCGCATCTTAAAAATATCTCATAATTGCCTGGTTGTACAAACTTTTACAATTTTGATTTCCAGATTTCTTTCGAAAATCAAATGAATATTTTATGTCATCACTGTTCTATGTATTCTTGTCGCGACTAAATATCATATGTATTCGGTATAATTATTTTATAAACTTTTATACATTCGATAGTAAAATGAAGGTAAAGTTTTAATTATACAATTTTGTCTTTCCTTAATCTAATAGCAAATTAATACAATAAATATGTTCATGAACAATCGAATGATATATGAATTTAACAAATATTTAATAAAGGCTTAATATAAATTCATTTTTCTTCTATATAGAGATAAACTAGAGACTTTCAAGAACGATGATAACAATGCTTTTCCATTAACTTGATTAGTCCACTAATAGACAGAGATAAAACTCAGTTTGTTTCATACTACAACTTGATGGAAATTTGGAATTATTATTAACGAAAAGTAATAATCTTTCTAAGTATTCATCTGGAATTAGTGCATTCCTAACAGCATTAATAACGTTGATCCTCAAACATACTCTTCAAAAACATTCAAATCTGATCTCAACTATTTCTTTATACTATTGATCGAATTGTTGAAATTAAATTATATCAATACACGTTACATCATTTGATCTAAACCATCCGAAAGTGCCTTTTCCAACAAGTATAGCTCAAGATTATTCGTAATATTTTTCATGACTTTTTTTCTATGAAAAAAATTTGTTTTCATAAACTTGAAACAACGAACAAAAAAAATTATCAGCAAATAAAAACAAATGTTGGTAACAGAGATAGTGTAGAAAAAAAGTCGTCTTGCAGTTTCAACAAATTATTTACATAATCGAATAACTCTCATAGTAGCAGAAGCATATAAAATTGAAAATATCTCGTGTACGAACTAATTATTTCATTCGTAACCGTTCGCATGATGTACTGAACGTTGACTTTGTCGATGTTTTGATGATGAGCTTTTTTCTGTTGTACGTAACGGCTCTTGTCGTCTACTTCTAGTAGTTATCCCATGTTGTCTCTCACGATGAGCATTTTGTGGCTGCGGTGGACTATGTTGATTTCGATGACTGCGACTCATCTGACGTTGTTCATAATTATTGCCAACATTAATGTTATGGATACGCTCGTTGCTTTGTGACCGTTTTCGTTTCTGACGTACTTGACGGTCATTTGAGCGTGATCGACTATTTGACATCGAACGCCTAAACAAGAAGTAATTATTAGAAAAAAATACGTTTCTCACTAATTCTAGGGAGAGTCTATCATGAAACGTATGTTTGGAAAAATAAAACAGTGCAATTTCAAAAATAAAAAAGAAAGTCGACAAACTGGTTGCTTATAAAGCATTCCAGATGTTTGAATATACAGTATATACGTACCGTTTTTCTCTCCTCATTCTCGATCCTGATCCTGAACGAGAACGTCTTTGTTTCGGCGGTGGTTTTGACAAACCTGTATCTTTTGTACACTCCCAGCTATGATGTCCTGGATCCATACAATTATAGCAAATATTTCGCTAAAAAATAAAGAATAAATAACATTTAAAACAAATTCATGTATAAAAGCAGAACACAAAACATACTGCATATCTATCACGTCGAACGAAATTCTGTCCAGGTTGCCTTGGGCCACTTTTTACCCATTCGACAACTGTTCGCATACCATTCAATATACGGCCATGTTTATCTTTGATTGCATTCTAAAACCCGAAAAAAAACTTTTTATCGATGTATTGGAAACGAAAAATAGATAAAGTTACACACTTAGATAATATTCCTCCAACTTAAAACATGCTATTGACCGTGATTCAAAATATATATATATATACATAATCAATTATCTTCCTTACTTACTCAGTAGCAAGAATAATACACGTGTGCATATATTGTGATGAAAAACCGAGAGAATGAGGATATGTATGTTAACTCTGATAAATAAAAGACATGGCTGGTAATAAATATGCGGCTGACGATGATATAACACACATAATAGCAAAGTGGAATGTTGTTTTGATAATCAGTTGTTGGACAACATTTGAACTGGCTGATATCTTGACTTGTTTTTGATATTAGTGAATCCAATTGTACAAATAGAATAGATGTATAATAGCCGCTGAAGAAACAAAGTGAATGGAAGTCTTTTCCCATGAAACATAATGATCATGATTCTAATGGTTTTGTCGGATAGATAGTATAGATCCTCTGATAGTTTTATCATCACAGCACGTCATACATCATCCTAACACTGAGAGAGAAAAACAGAAGAATAAAAACACAAAATATTTTTTGTAAAATAAAAACAACAACGATCGAAAGATATACAATTAAAAACTAATATGAGCAATAACCATTTATAGAGTAGACATAATTTAGCATTAATATATCATGTCAAAAGTATCGATCCATTTTCATATATATTTGTAGTAAAAAGTCGATTTTCTCGGTTGTACTGAGACAATCACACTTCTTTTCTTTGGAAAAGATTACATTCTCGCTATTCTTACACGAACCTGATCATTCCAGTACTTGTGCTCAAAGAGACTGACATGTAGCAATCATAATCTTTCATGACAATACAAGATAAAAACAACAAGCATACCTCAGCATCGTGTTCTGATTCATACTCGAGAAAGGCGTAAGCACTTGACCAACCTAGTGAAGAAAGATAAAAAACTGATTTGTTTTCTTATCCAAAGGTAGTAGACAACTTGATAATTACCATATTTCATATCACAACGAACCAGTCGACCATGTTGACGGAACACTTCTTCCAGATCATGGCGTTCTGTTTTCCTGTACAAATTTCCAACAAAAATTTCGCCACCTATAAAAGCAAATAGAATGTGTGAAAGATGATGATTTAGTAGTGGTGGTAAAAGAAACCAAAAACCTACGTGGCATTGTTCACACGAAATCAACAAAAAGTTTCTAAAACAAAAACAAAGCGAATAGGTAATGATATCTATCACAAAAAATGCATAGAAAGGATAAATCTGTCCTTAGGAAATATGATGTAGAATATTTTCCTATAAGTGGTAGTTATGAGTGCTATTGCTGCAGAAAATTGCAGTTCTATTTGGAATACGGTCTAATTCTTTGTCAAGAAAGACTGAAAAGGCGCAAGTTTTAAGTACTAAATAAAGAAAAACAAATAAAGGTCAAGATAAGCTAACGAGAGAACATCTGCAAGTATTGCTATGGGAAGTTGGCGAAACATATCCTCCGTAATAAAGTAAACTATGCTGATCACGAATGTAGTATTTTAGCTGTCACCATTAGAAGGTTGCTGAGTCAGCGAGCAATTTTAACTTTTTTGGTCGAAAACTCTCAATTTTCAATCGATCATATATTGTTTGACACATACATCAGATCTGATATATAGCTAAAAACATTACATTCGTGATCAGCACAGTTGTACTTTATTAACGAGGATATGTTTCGCGAACATCTCACGGAGACACTTGGGTATGTTCTCCAATAAGTTGACACAATTGCCATACTAATCGAACAAAATTTTATAGATTTTATTGAAAAGGTCCAAAAGACAGTCGCGTTTGAAAGAGCAAAAAAATTATTAATATTCTTCACCACAATTTGTCTAATCTTTAAAAGAGAAATTTTAAAAACATTAAAATCGATGGCTTGAATTGCTAACTTGGTACCATCGATTTACTCGAAAAAACATTTCTGCGTTCAATTGATCAACTGCTCATTTTTGCGTCAAAGTTAGGGTTAATTTACAATAACAAACAGCTTCATTTAGCTCATTTTAACTAGTTATTTATAATTCATAGCCATTTTTTTATGTATGAGAGAAGACTTCAGTTATTACAAAATTTCTAGTAAATTATATAATAATTAATTTTCAAAATACTGAAGAAAATTCTAGAAAGATACTTCGTACGATACAGAAAAGTATTATATAGATTAAAGGTCAAATGAACGATCTCAAAAAGCGGAAGGATGAGAAAGATCAAGGATTGGTTGCAAGATTTCAGCAAATAAATTTGTTTTCTTCAAGAAAACATGGACACCATTGTTCTGCTGACTCATCTCTCTTTCTTCCATCCTCAATATACTCTTTAATCATCCCTCGTCTCTGTTTCACTTGAAATTTTGTTTACAATTAATTACTAGCTAAAGTGACAGTCTTTTAACTGAAGAAATGTCTGCAACGAAACAAATCAAAATAGATGGTAAAATCTTTGGTTTTTTTATTGAATTTATCTTTTTGAATTCGTAATTTTTTTTATCTAGAAGCAGAAATGCAAAAAGCATTTGAATCTATTGGTGAAGTGCAGAATGAGATCGATCGATTAAATGAACAAGCAAGTGAAGAAATACTACAAGTGGAACAAAAATTTAACAAATTACGTCAACCAAATTATAAAAAACGTAAGGTTGCAAACATTATCTAAGACTATTCTATGTAATAGCGTATTTTTATCTAGGTTCAGATTTAATTAGTAAAATACCTTCATTTTGGATTAGCGTATTTCTTAATCATCCACAATTATCTACGTATCTTGATCAAGATGATGAAGCAATATTGCAACATTTGAAACGTGTTGATGTCGAAGAACACGAAGATATCAAATCTGGCTACAGAATTAAATTTGTAAGCATAAAAATGTTATTATTTGTCACACATAAACTCTTTATAATCAAACTTTATAACCATTTTAGACGTTTGAGCAAAATAACTATATTGATAATGATGTCTTGGTTAAAGAATTTAATATTAATGAAGCAAGTGAAACAACGTGTAAAGCAACAACGATACGATGGAAAAATGTATGTAGGAAAAAAAGTTTGTCTTTTGAAAAACTATTGCAAATAAAAAAATTCCGAAAAAGTAACGATTGATCATTACTAGTGTATTTTAATAGACATTTATTAGAAAAGAATCATTACCGATCGATGCAAATTTTACACTGCCTAGATTATGTCTTCATACGATCATTGCGCCAAAAAATATTTAAAAAGATATCAATTATCATAATATTTGATAGTCAATACATTTTTTTTTCTAAAAGTTTCTAACATAGTATACAAGTTGCTTTCTACGTTCAGTACCTCATTGAAGTATGAACCCGAAACTCGAAAGTCTATAATTTGAAGGCGTTTCAAACTTTTTCGATAATTATACATTATTATTCAGCTATTTTGTCATACGATTAAGCCCGAGTTGTTAAGAATGCGATATTTTATATCACACGTTTGATTTATTCATCCGAGTTGTTCAAGAAAGTCCTGCCTCAAAGCTGGTTGTTTTTCACATGTCTATTCCTGTGATTTTAGAGGAGATGATAATGAAGATGGATGTTAGAGGGAACAGACTAAACATTTGAAAAGGTGAGGATAATTGTTGACTTCGATCATCGATAGTATAAAACTGGTATCGAAAGAGGTGTGACTATTTTTTTTATTTGTAAATTGTATATGAGAGAAATCGTCGATTAATTTTAAAAACGTTGAATTCACTCCAATCTGTTTATATCTTCGGCATTAGGCAGTTTCCAATTGAATTTTCACTTGATTGATTGCATTAAAAACATTTACAACTTTTCCTGGGCTAGCAGGCAGTAAGTAAAAGTCAACTCAACCGTAGTCGATGTTTGTTAAATGTGATGCGAATATAACATGATAACTGTGGAAATTCATCGACCAAACTAAATAGATGCAAATCACAGAAACAGACGATAAGAGCGTATCTGTTTTACTTTCAATGAATTAATTTAATAATTTTAAATAATTTGTTATTGTCTTTCTAGTTTATATAATTTTTCTGTTCGTTTTAGGAAACAAAAAATGGTCCAGCTAAAGAAGGTCGAAAACGTTCACATGAGAATGATAATAGTTCATTTTTTTCCTGGTTTTCAAATACAAGTGATGCGGGAGTGGATGACTTCGGTGAAATCATTAAAGATGATATATTTGTAAATCCGTTACAATATTATTTGGCGGCTACAACGGATGAAGATGAAAATAGTGCTGGAGAGAATGAAGAGGAAGAGGATTTAGACAATGAAGATGGGGTATGTGTCTATTATGAATGTTTGTATACTTTGTTTAAAAACTTTAACGCTTATTCTAGGAACGTGAACAAGAATAAACATTAATACAATTAGAACCAAAAAGAATGTTTACTATTTTTCATACATCTCTCGTTTTTATTGTACATTTCTTTACTAAAACGACCACTTGTTTGTTTGTTCTTTTTATGATTATCTTTATTTCTCACTCTGGTATACAAAAAAATGAAGAAAAGCAATGAAGTTTGTATTGAAGTTGCGTGTATTTTTTTTTTTGCTGATCTGAGTTGTTTATTCATAAAAATTACAAAGAAAACATGAAACAATATAATGTCATTTAGGAAGAATGGTCTAGTAATTAAAACTAACCCGGTTGGAAATTTGGATTGAGTGTGTGATAGCCTGTTTTGTTTTCGTTTATTCGTGTTTTTTGTTTATGTTGCTACTTTTTCTGCCTGAATAAAAAAATAAGTTCATGGAAAAGTGTGTCACGGTTAACCGTAATTGATTGTCAGTAATTGAAAAGAATATAATTTGTTAAAATACGTTCCGTTTTTGCTTTGAAAAAGGCAGTTTTTTACTGTTTTTACTTCAAACCTTTATCTAAAAAAGTTGCATTGGGCTCAAGCATTTCTCACGGAACTTTAGCCGATATCTAATGAAAAGATTTGTTTGATCGTTAAAACAAATCCGGTTATCCTTAACAAACTATCTGTAAGTAAGAGATGTTGTATTTATGTTTTCATTTGAGATAAACAATGTATTTTTTGTGTTTATTCTCAATACTATTAACTTTAGTTACTAGTTATTCACAACCATCCTCGAATAGTATCTATCAAAACGGTCATCAAAAATATAATCATTTACTTGTGTCTTCAAAAGATTCTACAAGTTCTATCGGTGATTGTTGGAATCAAGTATTAGCCTTATTACATACACATTGTGATAATTTAAATGATAATGAGCAATCATTCATTGCATATAAATTTACTTTATGTCATTTGAGACATATGCATAACAACGATGAGACAGAAATTTGTGATAAAAGAGATGTTGATGTATGTTTAAAACGATTACATTTGAATCTAAATGCATTTATTGCTTATACTGAATTTTTTCCCTTTATACAAAGTGTTTGCTATGTAATGAAAGAAAAAAATCATCAACAAGAATTTGATAATCGAATAAATACTCTTTTATACGAAACAAGAAATACTATAAATAATTTGCTAACATCAGTTAAAAAACAACAAATGATAAGTGAACAATGGATCAAAAATTTAAAAATACAAAATTCAATCATGAGTAATGCAATCAAATTAAAAAATTTAGTTGTAACTAATACGTACAAAACACAAGATCTAATTGAAAAAATTATTCATACAGCACAACACGAATATGATTTGTTAAAACAGGTACATTGATGTATTTATCACTCTTAATATTTTTTTTATACTTTTTTTTTTCACCTTCGTTTTTAGATATGTTCTCTATCTCAAACTATTCAAACAATTGTTCGAATAAGTACTACTAAAACATTTTGGTTTTATCTGATATCATTGTTGAGCGTTTATTTATTGACAATACCTCGTCGTACAAATGCTTTGCGGTAAAGAAAGTTCTTATTACAACAGTAGTCTATCATATTCAACTTTATCTATTTAGATCAATATTATTTTGCATTATATTTTTGTACGTGTTAATTGAACGATATGCAATGTGTGAAACTTTTTCTATTTTGGTTTGTATAAAAATTCATTTTTAGTTTAAAAATTTTTACTTAAAATTTTTTTTTATATTTAGACAAGTGAATTTTTTAATATTTATTATTGTCGTTTAACATGTTGGCTATCCTTTGTTATTTTGTTGTTATATTATGCTTATTCTTATCAGAATCCTGACTATACAAATAATCAGCAGTTAAAACGAATAGCAATACAAATCCAACAAACAGAAACGACATTTAATAATCTTAAAGACATTCTACATAATAACAATGATTTATCACAATTAAACACGTTAAGTGAAAATGAATATGACAATTCTTTATCGTTAAGATCAAAAATCAAGGATAGAACAAGAAGAGTGTCTTATCAAATAGATACTAGACAATCAAAATCAATATCATTCTCAGGTAAATTTTATTTTTTACAGAAAAAATCAACTACAATAATGTTCACACCTATGTTACGTATTTTACAGTACAAGACTATTCAAATAATAGAGTAATTGATAAGGGTTATGAAACAGATGAGAATAAAGAAAATGAGAACAGATATGTAAGTTGAAACAATTTTGTTTTTAATTTAAATCCTGTATTCTTCATGATTTTATTCTAGATAAATTTAAGACATCGACATAATATTCATAATAATATTTTGAATACTGAGACACCTGAACAATTTGAAAATTTAATTAAACATAATGAACAAAAAACAAGACATTATAGTTTAATTATTCGACAGTATGTATAATAGATTTATTTTTGAATAAAATGCATATTTTAACCTAGTTGTTTGAGAAGATTACATGCACTACTAATATCGGTGACAAAATTTTGATTTCGTTTTTATAATTTAGAGAACAACAAAATTCAAGAAAATTTTTATTAGAAAAAAATTGAATGAACAACACTCTCTGTGATGAAAATATCAATGTCAGATATTGGTTGTTTGCTATCTAAGTCAGATAATTAACTTAGATTCTCTTTTCATTTTTCCATATGGTTGATTAGAAATAATTTTTTTTTATTAGAAATCAAAGGTTTATTTCTTTCTCTACATATATTCTAATTTTGTACGTTTTTTTTTTTGGTGGTTTCCAATTATGTATTTATGACAGAAAAAGCAGAATATTCGAAAATATTAAAGATTAATAAATAAATGTTATGAGTGCATGTCTAGATCTTGATGTTTGTTTACCAAATATCTTTCTTAATTTATGCGTGAAACTAGATCCACTTGTTTGTTCGATTTCTTTACAATTCAGCTGTTTTTTTAAAACAAGAGAATGAATTTATATGATCAACTGATGCCGTACAATTGTAGCTCTTCAGATATTATAGCTAGTCCAAAATCGTATTTAGTTATATAGAAATGGGGATATAAATTATATTCCGTTTTTTTTATTTAATACACGCAGTATGTTACCATTGATCAAATCCAAGTTATACTTCTCTTCTAAGCATCATATATCGCTCGATGAATTTTCAGATACGTTTGTCACCGGGTCGATGCATCTAGATACAGATAAATGTTTCTCTCGATACAACTATATAACATCATCCGTGAATGGTCATCTGCATCGATTTAAACTTGGCATATCTAGACAAGCCAATTTTTGTACTCTTTTCCATAAATTCTAGCACACCTAGGTATTTTTCTGTCAGGTTATTTCTACTTGAACACTCTCGAACGTCTCTCATTAACGTATCTAACAAAAGTGGATATGTTAGAAGTTACTTAAACTTCACGGTAGATTTAAATCAAAATCTATTAGTTTAATCGTTCAGAAGAAACTCGTTTTAGCGCTTATGCCAGATTCACTAAAATTCCATCCTATTTTTCAATAAGTCTTGACGTACTCTTTATACGTATTTATGTATTTAGAATGTATGTATTTAGAAACTGAATATCGCATTCGCTCTTTTCTCACCTCAAAATTTGATAAAACTACTACAAATTAGTAGTTACTAAAAACCCTATTACTAAGAAAAGTTAAAATAGAATTTTAAGGATTAAAACATCCGTGTTTCGCGTGGCTGTCTAACGCTGCTTATTTCAACATCAGAGAGATCTTCTCCTACCGACTAAAAAATTCAAAACAGCCTAAAATGATCAAAGTGGAACGCAAGAAAGAATAGATACTGATGTAGTTGTAGGAATCTACTTGTACATTGCATTGTTAATGCCAAGTTAGTTTAGTTTTATAGTTTCGATTAAGAATTAATTGTGTGTAGCTCCAAAAGTACAATTGATTTGAACATTCTCATAGGAAAAATGTAATATTGTTTTCATTTAGTTTAGCTTTATAACCGCTTTTTAGTTACTAGAGACTAAAATAGAATTCATTTCTGAAAGAATCAAAAGAAGATTCAATGACCGGTTTCGACTTTTCTCAAGGATCTCGTCAGGTGGTTTCCTATGAGAACAGAGTTAAGGCACGACAAGCAACACAACTCCATTCACACTGTAAGAGAGTGTTACTATTCCTTGTTCTTATCAAACAAAGAACGATAACTTTCACACGACGAGAACGGAGCACAATATCACTGTTTAGTCTCTAGTACTGGTAAGCTATTATAAAACTAAACTAAATTAAAATTGTATCAATTCGAGTTTAACATTTCATATAATATTGTTTTATTCTTTCTCTTGTGATTATTCGTTATTTACGTATTTTTTCTACTATTTGTTTATAAAGGTAACTTAGTTGTAGGCTGAAAAAGTATTCAATTTTTTGAAGAACAATTGATTTTCGTTACTTATTTATTTTTCTCTCTTTCTTTACTTCACATCTGATGCAGATACAAAAACTTAAACGTCTGAGTTCTGACCAAACAGAAGACGAAATAGTCACTCGATGCTTATAATAATATGCACTCGATGTTTATAATAATATGTCGAGTATTTTGACTATGGGATCATTTAGGTTCAAGCACGATAAATATAAATTTTTTATTAATATTAGAACAAACATCAGATGGGATGTATGCTGGTTGTTCAAAACACATCAGTATGCTGTCTCAGTCAACATTCTTAAAAATGTTCTTAAAAAAAGGCGCTTTTATTTGATGCTTGTATCTGACGCTTTTCCTTCTTTTCCATCTTTTTTAATTCATTTCAAAATAAGATAAACTGTACCATTTTTTGAATAACTTTTGAACAACTGTGCTCCTCATTGTTTGAAAGACAAGACTAGTGCACGCACATACGCAAATGACTCAGGAAACATTTTTTCAAGATAGATTGTTGACAAGGCCTTTAGAGAATTAATTTAATTCAGTTGAAATTAAAACGGCAATATGGTAGTTTTTCTATATGAGTTGATAGTCTGAAATGTTCAGGTCAAAATGGGAGCCAAGCGAGATCTTTAGTTTCAATGGTTCAATCGTGGATCATTTTTTTGAATTTCTTTTCAACGCAGTTTCATGCCTATCTTTGTTCGAAAGTTATTTAAAAAATAGTAGAGTTTATTCTATATGGGACTGTATTGAGCAACTTCGTGGCTTCCTCATAAATCTTCTTCCTATAGTTTAACGTTCTCAAACACACTTCTGAGTAGTATGGACTCACTACAACCACTGGTGAGAAAATTAGAGATGTTAAATTTTTATTTTTCAAGAAATCAACGTTGCGGATCTTCTTTTTGGCAAGTATTTCAAAGGTTTTTCAACGATTTTCGTAACCGAATCTCAGAATATACAATCGATTTGAACTCAGTATCAAAAACTGCATATCAACACATCATAAAAATCTTTGGCACAACTGGATTTTTGAAATAAATTTTCAAAAAATCTGTTTACTATCATGATTTATGTTCAAAAGTTTTAGCCTAAATAAAATTGATTACAGTCTTTCAAACTAGAAGATTAGATTCTGAAGAAATGGACTCGAGATAACGTATACATTTTTTGAACAAGGTTACTAATATATCTGCCAAATGGCCTTAGAATAAATAACAGAATTAGTTTGATCAAGAGAATAAAAAGAGTAAATTTTGTTTTTAATAAATCTTATTAGTCATATCATAATCTTTTCAATTCGAAAACGTTTAAGGAATATAAAATCCTCCCGGCAACTCGTATGAATTTTGGGACAATTTTCCCACTGAGTAAACATATCTGATGTAGCCATTATAAAGGCTTCTCTCATCCAATCCATTTGTAGGATGCACAAATGTAAATTCTCAAACACTATGTTAAATTTTTTTGATATTCATTAGTCTACATCAAAGATCGAAATGGTTTGGGTCAAATGAAAAAATATTTTTGGTCATAAGAAAAAATTTTCGATTTTTCATGCGTTTTTCTACGAAAAATGTAAAGTTATACCCCTTTTTGTAGGGGTTCATTCGAGTCAAGGAAAAAAATTTCGGATCGAGTTCGGGTCAAACTCATTTGACCCGATTCCGTCTGTAGTCTACATACCTTTTTACCCATATTTTGATTTTCATCTTTTATCAAGTGTTCGAAAACATTAGATGGTCAATCGCGAGAAAAAAACCTTCGAAAATGTTCGAAAAGATATAACGTTTGTAGAACTGAAGGTAGATTGCATGTACATTTTTCAGAAATTTGAAAAACTGTAAGAATTAAAAATTCTGAGAGAAGAATTATTTTAATTATAAGGGATTAGAACGAGTTAATTTCTCTAGACTACTGGGAAAATACTCTCCCAAATTATAGTTTAAAATAAAGCTACATCCATTTCCTTTTTTTAAGAATAAAGAGTTCATCAATACGCTACTTTTACATGACCACAATTTTAACGTGTTATAGTTTATATTTCATCTAAAGAGAATTAGACAATGTATAAAGATAGTTCTTGGATAATTAATGCTTTTTGTTTATAACACAGACTTTGTTTTCATTCTTTTGTAAAACTTGTACCACTATCAAAGAAAAAAAAAACAACAACACACAATCACACACATAAAATAAATGGATGAGTATTTTGCATAACATATTAGAAGCAGACATACATGAAAAAGAGAGATTAGAACATATGGTATAAGTTAATATAGTACATCATATTTCTTCTACGCTCGATCACTGATAGAATGTAATCAAAATGTTTGATCATTATGTTATGTGGAATGATCCTAAATAAAACAATTTGAGCGGTGTGCTTATATAAATACGTTAAATTTTTTCAATAATTGAAATGAAAAAAAGAGAAAGAAGATGAAAAAAAAGAAACAAAGTTTTGCAATGTTTTCTCACCGGATTGAACTAGAGATTTTCGAAAAGTAGAATAAAAAAATTATTATTATACAATTGAGAAAAAAAATGTTTACAAACTCGTTTGAGAGTACTAAACACACAATAGATTTGCAATATGTGTTATCAACAACAACAAAACAAAATGATTTGTGTGTATAAAATCAAACAAAACAAAGTAAGGGAGAATAACGTACGTTTATCACGCAGCTCTTGTAAACATTTCATATTCAACCATTTTTGTTTCCTTTATCATTTAAGAGAAAGAACTGTTAAGTAACAGTTTAGAAAAGAAAGCAGAAAAAAAAACTGCAATTTTTTGTGTTCGATTAGAAAATGAATCCGCAACGACGAAAAAAAAGTTAATTACAAAGAAACTATGCTTATCAACATTTTTTTTACTTTTCTAGGAGAAGCAAGAAAGATTTACAAGGACTTATAAAGATACTAAAAAATAAAAATATTTATCTTTTTTGCTTTTATTTGGCTGATCTAATAAAATGGCACGTTTGAATATAAAATAATGATGATTGTCTATTCACCATTCACTTTCCGCCGACAAGTCGGACATGTATCATTCTCCTAAAAATACAAGCAAGGAATAGAAGTTGATTAGAATTATCACACACATTTTGTCAAAAATTGTGAAAATACAGAATGAAAAAGCACGGTATTTTTGAAACATTATGTTAGGAGCAAATTCTGTGATTTTATTAAATGGCCAAAAGTGAGAAATCGACGTCTACTTTTCTACCGATTATAACAGGTATGTTTTAACCAATTTGACTTTGTCTATTCACTTACATCGGAAAAAATTTTACATGTTTCCCCTCACCTCAAATATTAGACATCAGTCTAGGGTTCTAAACTGTTGTTACCCTATACCTGTAGACTTCCACGAGTTGTAACGTATTGAAAAATTAAACTTCGCCGAATTATAATGTCTTATGCGTATATAGAACGGATCTAATTAAACTATGTTAAACTATAAAGACTCGCAAGCGTTTTTCATATATACGATCGCAATCCCATTTTCTTTTACTGCAGAGAGGTGCTGGTGCTGTTTTTATATTTACGTTCAATTTGAATAAGGAAAAAAAGTAATTCAAATGTATCCTTTTTCAAACGACTATGAAAATATCTAGTTTTTTATTTTACAAATACCGTTTCTCTTTCTGTAGATCTGTAGTATTGTACGGCAGAGAATTAAAAATAGATTGTTGATAATACGCTCTATGAAGTGTGCTTTTTGGTCTTGTCCTTTTAAAAATAGATTGAAAACTTGAATTATTTTTCGTTCATCTACACATGCGGATTCAAAGAAAGAAAGAAATTGGATAAATTCACTTGTTCTGATCCAATTCAATAACAATCGTCTATATTGATGATCACATAATATTGATTACTTCAAGAAAAACATCAATAAGACAGCGTAAAATGAGAAAAAATTCCTCTCTTTTTAGTAAACATTTTTTCCACTTTTTGAACTTTTCAAGATGGCAACGTTGGTGCTGAGACTGATGAAGAACAAGTATTTGAATTAAATGATGTAATGGACAGTATCCAGAACTACAGACTGGAAAATTATAACATATATTTCATTTGGCGATGATGAGCGAATAAAATAAATTATAAGCATAAATATGTTTCATTGCTCATGTTTATATGTTGTTAGTGAAGATAATAAGTATTGGTACTTTACGACTTTCTCACACTGGAGAATTTATAGAGTTCAAGAAGATTTTTCGGAATGGATCAGCTTAATATCAACTTCTTTTCGAAGCTAGAATCAGTAGCGATCAGAGATCGTCTCAGGGCAACTTTTTCGCTCTGTCCTGCTCTGTTAAAAAATTACTCATCAAATTTTTTTGGCCCTACCCTGCCCTGTCTGGCTGGGCAGGACGCCCTACAGTGCAAAAGAAAGTTTTTCTCCTTAACCTAGAAGACTTTATCTTCAAGAAACTCATCACAAATACTGGATGTGTTTCTCGTGCGTAACAGAATCTTTTTTTTATTAATTATCAGTTTTAGAAAAGTTGGCTGTCATTTTTATTTTCACATATACGAGAGATCTCAAAATTTTACTTAAAAAGAAGCTTGAAAATCTCAAAAATCAATCTCTCCCAGGGCAAATCAAGGAATTTTTTGTTGCCCTGCCCTGCAACAGGGCAGGCAACAAAAATATATCGCCCTGCTCAGCAGGACAGGATAAGGCGGCAGGGCAACATGGCAGCCCTGTTCTGCGACGGTTTCTGGTAGCGATACTATTTAAACTTATTTAGTAACAAGAAGAAAACTTACACTAAGCCATCTTGATACACAATTCAAATGGAACAAATGAGAGCAATGTAGTTTGTTAATTGTTTCACCATCATCAAATTCTGTTAAACATACAGGGCATTTTTCTTTTTCATTATCATTTCTCAGCAATGTTGGTATTTTATTAGCAAAGACAATTTTTGGCAATGAATCAATTTCTGTTTGTGTAAGACGCGTTGGTAAATTTAATATACGACTCAAACGAATCATCCCCTAAATTGAAACAAGGAAATAACATGATCCGTTTTTTAATTACCCACAAAATTTCACTTCAATTCCATCAAAATTGTTCGATCCCATTCGACTATAGATTAAGCCAAATACAAGTTGATCAAAACTGTTTACGGCACCTTCTAACGACTGTATAGAATCAATAACGATTTCGATTGCCTATAAAAGTTGCATACAAAAATACATACGATAAAATATTCAAACACATGCATTTACTCACTCGACTTAATCTGACACGTGACATTCCACTATCTTGATTACTACTTTCATTTGTCGATGACGTTGCACCACTACTTCTTCTCCTACAAAATCGAGAGTGTTCAATATTCTGATAGAACTTAGCAGTATAGCACTTACCTTGTAGTTGCATTCGTCGTTGATGATGTCATTTGAGATCTTGTTGTTGTTGTTGATGATTCGTCATCATGCGATACAACAACTGGAGGATTGCTGGTGCTATCCGCTGATGTTGATGGTAACGTTTCATCATCATCTGAGTCATTCACATAAATAAAACGATATTGTCTTGTTGCTGGACGTGGTGTAGTAGGAAGAGCAAGTGGCACAGTTGTTGTTGCTGTTGTTGTTCTGTTTCGTACAGGTTCACGGGAACTAGCATTCCATGATGAATCCGTGTCCAATACTATTGCCATTGGTTCATCAGTAAAGTTTAGTGGAAGACGCTGCAAGACGGGAGCTGGACTACTCATTGACAAGTTTTCTTCACGATTTCTCGCTAAAGTCGTACGTGCAGCTGTTAACGGTCTGTCTCTAGGAACTATGGGAGGACGTCTAATTGGTGATGCTTGTGTCTGTTGTTGAGTACGGGGACGAAAATCATATCGTGTTCGATTTGTATCATTGATAGGTGGCAGTATCAAACCCGAATTTTGCTGTTGAACATGATTATCAGCTTCTCTGAGTGCCCTTGTTGTGGTTATTGTTCTTGAGCTGGACGTTGTTGAATTATTAATCCCCACATTCTGATTTTGGCGTCGTGAAATTAATCGTTGTCGTGGATCAGGTGTTGAAGATCGAGTTATTGTTTGAGAACGATTACGAAAACGATAATGTGAAATTGGACGGTTAGAAATCGGCGATGATACAGCAGAAACGGCAGTATTTCGTTGTCGTTTGGTAACGGCTGCAGTATTAGACGTCGACGACAGACTTTGTCCATCGCTTTCACTCAGGTTTGTCGACCGAGTTCGTTTTCGATGCGTATTATCTGTTGTTGCGGTGGTTGATGAGGCTAGGGAATTGACGACTGTCTGTCGTGAAACATTACGTTGCATGGTTTCAGAGAGAACAGGAATGTTTCACTTGGATCTGAAAAAAAAACTTCTTAACACAAAGTGTATGAATTAACTAACAATCTGCATAGCCACTGAATGGAATAGCAGCTTTTATCAGATTAAAGTACATGCTGATCCAGTTCTAATTAAGTACTGAACAAATGGAATATCATGATTCCAAGTTTTGAAGAGTGCGATAGCGAGAAGACAATGTAACAAAGTTTAAAGTTCTGTTATTGTCAGCGAACGTTTTTCCTCTTTACTTTTAACTGATGAAAAACTTGAAATGATCTATATAATAATAAACAATTGAAATATCTTCAGCTTGCGCACCATTTCATCGAAGCTAAGACTTCTTTCGCGGTTTGAGTTAACCTTCAACTTTAATTTGTTGCCAATGAATTAAAATCATGAGCCGACACTTTACATCTTTTAAAACAGCTGCATAATGAATATTTCTGTTCTGATTAGGAATACGATGGAAAAAAAGAGATATTTAGGGAGAAAAAAAGAATGCGGCAACACAGACATTTCATTAAAATATCATAGATATTCTCATTAGTAGATAAATCAGCAATACGTTCATGCTACATAACAGTGTATAAAATCTGATCGTTTTTCATAAAAATGCTTTAGAATCAAGTAAAAATGCAGTAATTTTAAGTGAGAAAATCATGAAACAAAAATGGTATTAAACTAGCTGCGAAGCCGGAGTAGTATCAATAGATGGCGTTTCACTACGATGCGTGACAGCTACTCGAGGATTATGAGATTGCAAGAGAAATCAAGAAATGAATAAGAATGATAATGTACAAAGAAAAAGATAAATGAATATGGCACCCTAGTGAATATTCTTGAAGGCAAGTACTTAAAAAGTGCTTGGTACAATTAATGAAGTCAGTCCCTGTTGGTTTTCCACAAGTAATTTTACGTACAAGCAATTGGACCTAATGCAACTAAATTTACTTGAAAACTTCATCCAAGTATTTATTCCATTTATCTTTATCTTGTATTTTGTTTATATTCTGCAGCCATACTCTACTTTTGTAGAGCAGATGCATGCGTGATCCATGTAAAAAACTCTTGATGTCTCTATGTCTATATGACGTTGCCGGCAGATGTGTTTGAACGCATCTACAATGAAACATCTGAACACATTGAAACGCGCCTGGAGTGCATTTTTAACCAGACACGTTTCGATGTGTTCAGACGCGTTTTTTCAAACGAAAATATGTACATGGGGGCTACTAAATTTGTTCAAATCAGTGCAAATATCTAAATTTTTTTTCCAAGCTAAGACTGATTGATATTGTGATGTTTATATACAACCTGTCAATGCAGAACAAAAGAGTGATTGACTCGACTAAGTATTAGGTTGTTGCCTAAGTTCTGAGCGCTAATATTTTTCGAATAGCTTTTCACAGAAATGAGATAGAGACCTGCGGTTTTCACTGTTGAATAGCCAAGGCCTTGAGACATGTTTTTATAAGCAGAAAGTCGTTTCAAAATTTTTTGTAAGTCCGATTTTCCAGAGGATCTTGGAAAACCAGCTCCGTTCTCAGAAAACTAACATAAAATGTTAGCAATTTTTTGCATGCGTAGATAGTCCGGACGTTACTCTACAAAATTATGCAAGTCCCAGCTCTCCAGCTATCGTCGTTCTGACAGGGCTCGCTTTCCCCGAGCACGTGTCTATCTCTGAGTCGACATCTCTGGGAATCTCGAAATGCCATGGAATATAGGTAATCGAGTACACTGAGGATAGTGGCAACATTTGTTTTTATGCAAAAATGAAAATAACTTCGCCGGAGGGATTTTTGATCTGACCGAGATATAAGAATTTTAACTTTTGCTCCTAGTAACAGTCGTTTTGCAGAGTAACGTCCGGACTATCTACGCATGCAAAAAAATTGCTAACATTGTGTGTTAGTTTTCTGTGAACGGAGCTGTTTTTCAAAGCTCCTCTGGAAAATCGGACTTACAAAAAATTTTGAAACGGCTTTCTGCTTATAAAAACATGTCTCAAGGCCTTGGCTATTCAATAGTGAAACCCACAGGTCTCTATCTCATTTCTATGAAAAGCTATTCGAAAAATATTAGAGCTCAGAACTTAGTTAACAACCTAATACATGGATGAAGCGAATCAAGTGACGATACCTGATGAGTACTTAGACAAGAACTTGGGAAGTAAAAACACTTGCCAAGTTCTTGTTCAAATGTTTAGTAAGTGAGAAAACTTATCAAGTAGTTCCCAAGTACTCGGCTTCATGTACACTCACCAGGACTTAATGAATATACTTGGGACAAGTACTGTACTTACATAATGAAGTTGCTACCTGCCTTTTTCCAGAAGTAAATTTACTGGTAAATACTTGCTCAAGTACTTGTCGAATGAAACTGCGAGCGGTTCACAAAGTACTTCATAATAACAAATATTACCATCTGGGAGAAGTACTTGTACATGGTATGTCGCTTCATGTAACCGTTTTTGCAAGGACTATTCTACTTTTATTCGGGCGTAGATACCACTATACTATGTATTAAAAAGAGTTATCCATAAATTCTTTGATTTGCAGTGGAGCCAGCATCATTAAAACAATAATCCCACTAACTATTTGGATCAAACATCTAGTTTTGCACTAAATGTATGAGTTTTTTTCATCCTCAATATTAAACAGTTCTAATAGTACACATAGCAGTACCTTGACCTTGACTACAATGAATTCAGTTGCTACTGAGATGGAATAATAAGTAACAGTTTGCTCTCTTGTGTGACTAAAAGTTTTTGATTTATCAAACTGGAACATGTCTTTACTCTTCTAGTCGAGTCTGACGGTTTATTAATAAAAACAAGATCCACTCTTGTACGTAATCACATCATTCCGCATATTTTACAGAAGCATCTTCTCTTAATCAAGAAATGTTTTTTCAAAATACTTACGCTTGCAATCTTTTTTTAAAACACTTCTAAACAGAGATCTGTAAGAACAAAATATAAAAAGAATATAATACTAAATGGCGTAGGAAAAAATTAATAATTCAAAATTGAAGTGGACTCATGTGCATCTTGCCATCGCGATTCTGATAATAATATAATAGTCTAACTATAGTAGCATGAACAAGGAAAAAAGACACACTTACTACAAGAAAACTAAACAAGTATTGAAAATAAGTCAAATGATTAAACATAGTATAAACTGGATATGCATGCATTGAAAGCTGTATATATTTGAGACTGACGTTAACTATATTAGGGTTCTGGTGGTATAATCATTTTAGTGGAATGGTATCTCTATTATTTCGAATAATGAAATTTTAAATGGAGAGAATAAGTTAGACGTGTACGAATTAAAATCAGATAGGACAATTAACTGACGAGGAAACATCCTTTGATAAATTAACGATGATGATCGTCAGATTGAACGGATAACTATCTGACAAACAATGAAATTTCACCTCTCCTATAGTCTTCAGGTGAGAATAATTATCAATAACAGCAAAAGACTAGGATTTTCCAGAAATGGAAAGACCTAGCTAAAAAACTTCAGTTTTTTAGCTAGTTGTTTAGACTCGACAAAAACTGAAAAGGGTTTTTTATTTTTGATAAAAAGCCGCCCGTTTTTCATTTTGCATCTGTCACGAACGCTTTTTAGTTTTTTAGATATAAAAAACAGAAAAGCGTTTTTTAAAAGGTTTATTGGTCTCAATAAACCCTTTTTGATAGTTTATTAATCTACGACTATTTTTTACAGTGTAGAGAGTTGAAATTTTCTGTGTACTATCTAGTCATGTAAGTCTGTCACAGAAAAAAAATTCAGCGCCCCACTCCATTTTCAGACAGAGTTATAGCATTTTCTTTTCTCTCTTTTCCTCTAGGAGAAAAATAGAAAGATGTCTGTAACTCTTGACGAAAGAGCCATCCGCCCGAATCTTTTTAGGATTATAACCATCTCAATATGCTCTATCGATTGAGATATGAATGAGTCGAAACGGGAGGTATCACCTCAGGATGTTTCCTCGTGAATAAATAATACTTTCGCTGTTTTTGTATGCCATTGAAATACGAATAAATGTGTTTTTTGATAACATTTTTATTAACTTAATTCTCGAAGATTGAGAAATCATCAGTGGCAGATATAGAAAATTTTCCGATAAATGAATATTTGCAGAAAATTCGTCAGTATGTAGAATTTTTGTGAGAATTGGTGAAAAAAGATAAGTTAACTCATTTTTAAATGACAACGAATGCTATGGAATCGAAAATTAAATTCGCTACTGGAAACCATGTACCTCTTGAGTTCATTGAAAAATTTTACAAGATGTGGGCAAGAAAAAATTGGGCGACTTGACAGAGTGAGTTTGATTTTTGTGTAAATGTGTGTATTTACACACATTTTGTTTTGATGTTTTCTGGTTGTTCGTAATACTAAACATTTTTCCTTATGGAACGAACTATTTTCCACTATCAAGTTTCTTATTATTAACAACTATTAATGAAAAAGTGAAAGACAAAGTAAACAAACGACAATAACAATTGCTCAAATAACAATAAATAATGACAGAACAGTTTATTCAGTATCGAGAAAAACGTTTCTCGTTTAACCTTAGAAAAATCACAGGTATACTTAACTCTTTCCAGTATGATGTTACCATTTGGCAACACCTTTTGCTGTGTTCTAGAAACAGCCGGCTGGAAAGAGTAAAATGTGCATGGAAGAGCAGAACGCCCTCTTACTGTTAAAAATTTGGTTCCAGCAAATGTTTTATTTTGTCAGAAAAACGATCGTACAGCCGAAAAAGCAATTATTTTACATACACATATAGGAAATTTTCAAAAAAGTGTACGAAAAAGTCCTTGTGCCCTCCTGCTTCGAGGATCGAGTTACGTTCTTGAAAGAAACATACAGAATGAAGATTATTAGAGAAAGAATAGTAATTATGCACAGAAACATTTGAGAAAAATTGTAGCCACAGTGGCATTAAAAATGAAGAAAAAAAAATTAATGCAAGTAACAGATATCACAAATTTAAGTTTTACGGGAAAAAAAAAGAATAATTCCTAGTTTAATATAAATAAATAAATATAAATAAATTTACAAAACATAAAAGAATTTTATATAGATATCTACATATATTTCTATCAGAGTTTTGCCTATTGATGTATATTTGACTAGAAAGTAAGAATTCTCACACAGCAAATAAATAAACAAAATGTTCTAGACTAACGACAACGACTGAGAAATAAAATAATATTATGTATTAAAGAGGTGATAAAATACATAGATTTGAAAATAAATTCATTTACAACTAGATGGAATCAAAAAATGAGAGAAATCTGATAAAAAAATCTGACTTTTTAAATTGTTTTCTTTCTTATGAATTTGACACTTACTTTTAATTGACGTAATATGCTTTTGATGTTGATTGAACCGTTGTTTTGGTTAGTTGAATCCAAAGAATGAGAAATGAACTTTTGTGTTTTAACATTTGACAAGAATTTTCAACTATTTGTTCAAAATCATGACTAAAATAGAAATACATATATCATATTTTCTCTTCACATTGTCTCTCAACAGTAGGCCTATCAGATATTTTCAGCAAACACATTTGATTTGGACAAACAAACAAATTAAATAATCGAGTTTAATTTAAACAGAATAATCTTTTAGGATACAAAATCTATTCTACTATCAATAGTTTAAAAGTACTTTGAGCATAGGATGATGGACATATGGCTATAAATAAAAATAAACATATGTCACTTACTTGTATATTTTAATTGAATCAGTTTGTTGATCTATTGGATTATATGATGTTAATTTTTTCTCTGTAATCAAACTCGTTCTGTTTAGACATAAATTAAAGAATGTTCATTGCAATTGTCCTCAATTTGAATCAAAAAAATATTTTCATACTTCAGTCCAAAATAATGGATTTTTGCTTGCTTCCGCTATTCTAGCATAATCCAATTGTTCATAGATTTGTGTTCTTGAATAATTATAATATAATAACATTTTTTTTACACAATCAATAGAATATAATGATATTTGAGATAGACCATGTCGACTAACGGGACATTTTGAGAATAATGACATTGTTTTCAATAATTTTAAACATAATATTGGATCTGATAATGGCGTTATACGTATTACTTCAAAATTATGTTTTGTTGCCTAAACAAGAATAATACATTATTGTAACACTATGTAAATGACCGAATTCTACTTACAAATGTCTCTATTATATCTTCATCTATGTCAGACAATATTACGGATATATTAAACCATGGGATTAATGTGTATAATTGATAACGAGCAAATATTAATTTATCTTGTGAAGATATTATTATCACTTTAAAATAGGGTAATTCGACTTTCTTTTCATTAATTTGTTGTCTTGTCTGCTGTTGTATTTTAACTTTATTTCTCATTGATCTATTGAACAATAAAATAAAAATATATGTTTATCGCTTTTAAAGACATATTTACTCACTCTCCTTCTTTCCAGTACAATTGTATAATTGTATGCATTGGTTTTTCATTTTCATCCAATTCAATCTAGAGAATCATTGCATTTGTGAACTATTTGTATAATGTTGAGTCTGCTACTTGATGCATATTTCATCATCTTTCTGATGATATAATCTCATCTAACGTTAAGCTCGTTAAACAATAACTTACTTCTGAATCATTGTTCATGTCCTCTGTAGCTATTGCCATTCGACAATGAATAAGAAAATCATTAACGCAAATATAAGCATCATCATGAGAGACGAATAAATTAACGCTGTAACAATTATTTGAAGCACAATATAATGTTTCAATTTCAGCTGGTCTATCATTGATAACATTTTGAAATGTTTTTGTCACTTGTTCATTCCATTCAGTCATTAATTGTGATTGTTTAATATTGGATAAACGGCAAGTAATTGATTGAACAAGTATCTTCGAAAATTTTGTTAGAATAAATCATCAATAAATTGTAAACGAACATGTCTACCATTTGTTCATATTATATATACTTCATCTCTTTATAAAACAGATCACATTCTTTGATGTCTGTAAGTAATTGGACGGTGAATGCATGAGGATTTTTAGCCGACATGATAACACATTTTTGTGGATAATTTATGCGAATATTTGATTGATAATTATAGCTAGATGAATGAGTATCAACAGCAGATATTTCGAATGGGTGTGATAATCTTGATACCACCGATTCTTTCTAAAAAAGAAATTTCTCAATGAAGTAGTGCTTACTGATTTTTTACAGTTTATCTAACGTCTACCGAAAAAAACAAATGGCTTCAGAAAAAACAGGTTTTTTTTGTCAAAAACTTGACGTACAAATATTTTTCTTTTTTTATATGGTTAAATGGTCCAGAATATCTATGAAACTTAGAAGTGAATAAAATATGAATTAACGAGTACACTGTGCCGACTCTCTGTAAATCGAACGCCATGCCAAGGACGTGACAGTTGGAGAGTTCAATTGACTCCTGTTTTGTAGAAGATGCTCTGGACCATTTAACCATATGAAAAAAGAAAAATATTTGTTCGTCAAATTTTCGACAAAAAAAACCCTGTTTTTTCTAAAGGTCTTCTAGAAATCTTACCTGAAAAACTTCGTTTTTAGACAAAGATACGTCGGAGTCCTGATCACCGAAATGGTTGAAGCTACAGCTCACCCTATCTTATATCAAACGCTGTTAAAAATATGGCCACAGCCATTTAGATAGACGCTCGTGCAATTTAAATCATAACACAAGTCATTTTTAGCATTTTTGAAGGACAGATTACACAGAAAATGCTTCTTACTTCTATATCTTTATCATCGGCACTTGTGAAACTCATAACGTGATCTGTATGTTGACAAAACAATATTTGTTCAGTATCTGATATATTCAAAGGATGTGGTGACGATGAATGAGGTAGTGACAATGCAGATTGTTTGGATTCAAAAATTGTATTTTGATTCGAAGAAATACCATTTTGTATGTGGACTTAGAAACAGATAACAAAATCCATGCTATTAGTGACTATAAAAGTGATGATCTTTCATAGTTTTACCTTCTTTTTTTGTTATATCGTTTAAAATATGACTAGTAGGAAAATGAGTACGATTATAACATTCATGACGACATATTTATCTAAAAGGGATGAGTTTTATTAATGATAAAAAGTATAAATACCGTACGAAAATAGTATAATACGACTAAATTATGCTCTTAAATAAGGATAAAATGCATAAAAATTTATTTTAATCATCATTAACAGAAACAAGAACAAATAATAGAAAGACGTATATAGAATGTACTAGTACAGAAAATAACTGCCAATTAGAAACAACTTTGTAAGTATGGCTGCAAAAAAAAAGTATTAATGAAATTATTGTTGACTGATGAACAAGTAATAACAGTTGCAAAGGTACATGCAATGACCCGAACATAAAATAAATAAGCTTATATTAATGAAGAACGAAACAAGGTGGAACATACTCACCAAGTTAATGATAAGGAAAAAGACATTTTGCTCTCATTTGAATAAACGTTGTTAGGAAAAGAAGTGCAGAGAAACACACGGATGAAAGTTGCGAATCATTAAAAAGAGGCGTTCAAAACAACAACTGATTTTTCAGATTAAGACAGAACTCAGAAAAAAAAAATATGAAATATAAAGAAACTGTAGGATTCATTTTCATGTCCACAAATTGTTAAATTCACAATAATCAACTTCAAAGTCAAGAATGAGGATATCGAATGGCATAAAATTAGTCCTATTTTTCATAAATTCAAACATAGGTAAAAATTTCATACAAAAAGACATAACCGACCAGCAGTTATATAACGATAAATAGAGTAATAATATATTTATAAAGTAAAGACAGTGGACAGTTGTATGGAATATGATCAAACATTCCGTGAGTGTTCTGTTGAAACACACAATAAAAGTAAAATAATAATAATCATAATAATAACAACAACAACAAAAGAAATAGTTCAAAGATGGATTGAATAAAGATCATTGTTAGGCGTAGACCCTGATCGTTGAATATTTCCTACTGTTGTAGTAATTAAATGATTTGTACTTCCAAAAGAATCATCAATAGCTATCGAGTTATTGTCATGATGATTATTATTCGTTATATCATGTGTTCTGGTGACAATCGAATTAATTGTTCTGTCTTCAGCATTAGTAATAATCGGAGGCCAATTTGGTGTCTGACGAATTTGATGTTCAATTCGAACGTAGTGCAGATCAGAACGAATATTTCTTGTATAATCATTATCAACAGAAGACATCATATTACTATCATTTTGATGTCGTTTAAAACTTATATGATCATTTTCAATAAAATATTCCTACAAACAATTAGGGAACAACAGTTAGTCGTTTGATAACAATGAGAATTAGTGTAAACAATATTATTTGTCGTTATTTTTTTCCTTACCTCAAATAGAAACATGAGCAAAAAGTTCAGTATTGTCAAGCCAAGTATCAATAGCTTGAAGTTGAAATCGGGAAACATTCGTAGCTAAAATAAAATAAAAGTTTTAACTTCGGAAGATTATTGTTATAGACAATTATTGCTCACTTGAATAATGTTCCAAAGTGGTTCAATTCCTGGCGAGAGTAATAATATTGTATTAAATGTAAAACATATAATAATAGAAGCCAAAAATAACCCTTTTAAATAGAAAAAAAAACAATGTATTATCACTTTCAATATTAGATAACAAATGCACATACAATTTGAGAATATTGATTGTCGATATGGTTTTCCACGCGAGAAAATAATAGATTCCCAAATGTATTGATAAGTTGACAGGCAAAATACAGCTGTATTAATATAAGACCGATAATCTTTTTCCGTATTAAATTCGTACGCCTCGTACCTAAAATATTAAAATAATATCGAATTTGATCATTTCCAACTATCAAAAAATGACTCTACCATGGTAATTTTTGAATGTAGATAAATATAAAAGCTTGAAATGCTATACATATAGATAATTGACCAATAATCGATACAAGTGGTTTCTGTAATGAAAAAAAAGAATCGATTATTATTGATCTTCAATATTACTGCTATATCATTTTACCCATGATATCAATTTTGTTCGAGGAGGTTTTGGATCCAAAAACGGATAGGATGCTGTACGACTAACTAAAGGAGGAAAAAATAAATATAAAAATGATATTTAGAAAGTTTCTGATTATGGACACTTACACAAGAGTACTAATAACGTTATCAAACCTAAATCGATGTATAAAAATTCTGGATCCGTTAAATTATTACCAATCTAATAAAATAACACGATACAATTAGGATTTGTGCAGTAATAATCGATCGGATATCGAAATTTGGTTGCTGTAAGCCTCTGTATAGTTCTCTTAAGTCTTATACAGAGGAGATAAGTACATTAGAGATGTGCAATCTAACCCGAAGGTTGGGTAAGCGTAAGAAAGTTGTTGGGTACCAGTCGGATACGGGTAGAGCAGTTACGAGTGCGAGTTTTGTTTTTTTAAATTTATCCAAAATCCAGAAGGTTTTAGTGGAAAACCACAAAATTTTAGTGAAAAAATTCAAAATTTTAGCTAAAATACATTAAGTTTTAAAAGAGTTACTTGTGAACATAACGATAACTTGACATCTCCAGCAGAAAAACAAAAGTTTTTAGCTGGAAACCGAAAAGAAGAAAACTTTTAGGCATAAGCCGAGTACAAAGTTCTCGAATCCGGGTTGGAAAATGGTACCCGTGCACATCTCTAAAACACATATTGTTATTACCGTATAAAGCATAATAACAGACATAAATTGTGTTAAACTGTATGCAACCATATATTTTACTACACCAAACGATGTAACAAGGGCAGCTCGACCTTCACTATAAAAAAATAAGAAGCAAACGACTTTAGTATTACACATTGATATTGATTTACAATAACTAAGTAAGTGTAAAATTGTTAGTTCATAATAATGGATTACTGAATATTAAACTAAAAGATTTTTGTTTTAAAAACTACCATTTCCAGGGGACTCATATTAGAATAAATAAAAGATAGATGGATAATTTTTTTTTGAAATGTATTCATTTGGTTAAATACGGCCTAAAGTAATACGACTTTTTATTTTAACAAAAACAGATATTCGAATAGTGAAATTACTCCTTGTCTTTCAACTAATAATTGATTTCAATTTTTAACAACTCGCTTAAGTTTCTTACCGAATAACTGTCGGTACACACTCAATTGTAGGAGTTTTTGATGTAAACGGACTTGCTACAGAAGCATCGGCAGTGGATAGTGAAATACCAGCATGAGCTGCTTTTAAAGCACCACAATCGTTTGCACCATCTCCGCACATACTCACATAATAACTAAAAAAGAAAATATATATAGTTCAGTGAAAAAATACCACAATTCATAGCCTGAAAATATGAGAAGATGAGTATCTTTTATGCATAGATCGCCGGAAAAAATATACAAAAATTTAAACGTCGTACGGCAACGATATTTTACAGAAATTTAGATGACAATCTACGAAATATAAAAACATAGTTTCAAAGTTTTAGCAAAGAAATATAGAATCTCACAGAATCTAAAGTTTTCAAACAATTTTGTGAGTGTTATGAGCTAGCAGAAAAATCCTTAATATTTGATAAGGGTGCAAAACTTGAGTTTATGCAAATGTGTAATAGACATTCTGAACTATAAAACCATATTAGAAGATATACAGGTTATTAGAGACTGACATCAAGACTCAAAGGTGGCTTTTCAAACATCCATGTGGTTCATCATCTTCAAAAGATATTCTGAACTTGATTTTTCCACAGTATGATGTACTTTCGTGGTAACACAATGATGAATAGACCTCTTTTCACTAGCGTCATTCAAAGAATAGCTAAGTCCACTAATATTTTTAATTGGATAGTAGTTTCACTTTAGCATTAGTGTTGTTTTATTACAAAACGTTCAATTTTAACGTAAAAAAGGTCGATTACAGGTGAGCTTTTGATCAATAGTTAACCATTAATTATTGAAATATATATAGTAGATAGCATGAAGACAAAACGTCTAATAAATGGAAATAATTTCACTGTCTCAGTTATGTTTAATTAGAAACAAAGAAAAGTTATAAACTATCCAATAATAATTTCGTAGAATTTTCTTGTAGAAGAAAAAAACATGGAGAAATTCTTACGAATAACGTCACAAAATAGTACCTTGATATCATCTCTGCAAAAAAAAAATTATTCTAATTTTTCAGACGCTCTGTCTGTCAAAATTGGCAAAAAGTCGTCTTTCTTTCGCACCTTCTACTGGTGAAAATAAATTGTACTACTATTCAATGAATTTGTGCAAAAGGTCATCTAAAATAAACTTCTCTTGAATTAATTCTATTTGAATAAAATCACTGATTTTCTTAGTTTTAATTTTAGTATAATCTTTTTTTCTTTTAATTAACTGTGATTAGCTGTCTTCATTAATTATTTTTTCTCTTATAAATATAAATCCACACTTTATTAAAAGTAGAAAAAGAGTAAGTAAACTGTTTAAACTTTATTTAATATCTAATTATTTTTAAATAATTAACTTTATTTAATATCTACCTACACTTTTTCTATTGTCTTTTATGAATTTTAATAGATCTCACTATATATAATTCTTCTCCCATATCCTGAATTGAAAGAACAAATAATGAGAATATAAGACGATTTCGAGATGGTCTATTAGATCATTTCAAATTATTGTGTAGTTTCTGTCGGATCAATAATAATAGAAAACGAATAATTAAAATCAAAGATAGTTCCATTGTCAACTATACAGAAATAGAATGAACACAGAAATAAGTAAGTGTCACTTTATACATTGAATTGTAGAAATCTCTTAAAAACAAAGAAAGTTAAAAACGTACAGGTAAATTCCAATAGTAACGCATGCTATATATAGTAATACTTTGACGGATGAGCCTAAAATTTTGAGACAAAATGTTCGTCAAGACTCGTTATCGCCAGCATAACGATCATTGCAAAAAATGGTGAAAGAGATACGTTAGAACCATTATTTGATGCTCTATCTACATTTATGTTAAAAAAACTTCTTTATTGACTTTCCGAATCAAGAGCAACAGTCGTAACTTAAACAGTCTGAAAATATTCCCTTGCATAGAGAGAAAAAAAAGTACTTTTGATAACTGCTAATTTTTTATTTAATCAATAATAATTTTTTTATATATTACCCGATTTTGCTTTATAAGTGTGCATGTTGAAAAAGTTGATTATAAACCGAATTTATTATGACATGGAAATGCTAACATTTCAACCGAACTATTTTTTGCTTACCAATGTTTGATGTATAGCTACCCATTACTCTATCTCTTTATGTAGTCTATATTCGTTCAGCAATCAACTTTTGTACTGAACAATTAACTCTACATATATTTTCGAAATATTTCTACAAGGATTTCAAAACATTTCTACTAAAAAAGATTCTTTTCGATAAAGGAAGTCAAGAAGGAATATTTTTCAATCATCGTTAGGTTTGAAATAATGAGCTGGACATTTTGTTTTAAACCAACTTTGGATCCATCCATTATATAGTTATCACAGTGCAATGAGCATCAAGATTAAGTTAACTCAGAGTTTCATGCTAGTGACATAGTATGTGTAAGTCAGAGACCGTCGCAGGGCAACTTTTTTCGCCCTGTCCTGTCCTGCCGCTCTGCCCTGTCAAAAAATTACTCATCAAATTTTTTTGGCTCTGCCCTGCAGTGCAAAAGAAAGTTTTTCTCCTTAACCTAGAAGACTTTATCTTCAAGAAACTCATCACAAATACTGGATGTGTTTTTCGTGCGTAACAGAATCTTTTTTTTATTAATTATCAATTTTAGAAAAGTTGGCTGTCATTTTTATTTTCACATACACGAGAGATCGCAAAATTTTACTTAAAAAGAAGCTTGAAAATCTCAAAAATCAATCTCTCCCAGGGCAAATCAAGGAATTTTTTGTTGCCCTGCCCTGTTGCAGAGCAGGGCAACAAAAATATATCGCCCTGCCCGGCTGGACAGGGCGGCAGGACAATATGGCAGCCCTGTCCTGCGACGGTTTCTGGTGTAAATCCACGTTTAGGCTCTGGCTTTTGAGCATGTGAAGCATCGAACTATACAAAATAGAAAACCTTGTAATTCAACAAAAGCTTTCAAAATCAATGGAAAATATTTAAATTTTGGAAAGATTTCTAGAGCATCCTGAGTGAGAAAATCATTTTTACTAGTATTTAATATAAAATTAGATTACACGGATAAAATAGAGTTTAACTTGATGCCACCTAATATAGGTTATTACTGGGCTTTTGAATTTTTTTCGAAAAACAAACATGACCCATGAGATTCAGCGTAGTTAATAATCTTTGTTTCCATTGTCTTTGGGATTACTACACCCAAAGGCAGAGATGCAACCGGACCGGGCGCCCGTTCCCAGTCCGGTTGACTTAGCTTATAACTAGAACATGTGACAGAAAATAGCACATTTATATCGAACAGAAAGCAAAAAACACCGGTCGCTTGCCGGTCAAAGTTTTTGAAAAATGTCCGATTAACCGACCGGTCCGGTCCGGTCGCCACATTTACGCCGATCACCGGTCAAGATTTTGTTGGCCGGTGGCATCTCTGCCTAAAGGAATAACAATCCTGATATTTCTAGGAAATACTATGCCATGCTTAAACCATAAAAAATTAAGCGATCGTTTAGGTCCCATTTTGACGAGGACATTGTTTGAACTATCTAACCGTGGAAAGAAATGAAAATATTTATATCAGAATATCAACATGGTTTTTCAAAACTCTCATAAAAAAATAACAACTTTCACGAATAATTTTGAAACGGTTTTTCCAGCAGAACCATGTGTCTCGGTTTTGATTATCGAATGGCGAAAACCGCATATTTCTATCTTGTTCCTATCAAAAGGTATTCTTAAACCAACTTGTTTTTTAAACGGATAGTAGTACAATATCTCTTCGATGTTCGAAACTTGCTTATTTATAGTGATAAGGTGTTTATATCTTCTTAAGTCATTGTAAATGACCGTTAACTTTTAAAAGAAATACTTTAATGAGTACGAATGAAACAGTTGATTACGCATAGAAAAAATGTGGATCTACTAATTAAGTTTAAAAATAGTTTTAACAAAAACGCATCTTATTAAATGTGTTATATATTTAGGATAAATACATTTTTGATCCCGGAAATTTAGCACAATTGATCCCATGTACTAATTTTCATGAAAAAATGCACAAATGATCCCGGTTTTTCTAATAATTTTTAAATAGTTATATAATAACACAATTGATCCCCCAAAAAGCTATATTTTTCCTTGCATAACACAATTGATCCCGAAAAATTCGCAGATCATAGCACTACACAGTCCTTCAACATCTACATATAAAGATCATTTAAAATTAACTGCATACACATCGTTACGGCAAGTGAATAAAACACAAATCTTACAGGTGAATCCAAATGTTTATGTAGTACCATAAAAACATGAAAACATGAATACAACTACATGGGTTCAACAATTTTATGCAATGGCTCGGAGCAGTTATGATGAATTAGCTAATTGGCTCAATTCAGTACGTTTAGTGAACTGTTCACATCTACTACCACCATTATTTTGTATATGTCAAACTGGTTTAAAAGAATATACTTACGTACATGCTTTAAGTTTATTAATGTTATGGGGTAGTTAACCAGTGCTACAAATAATTGGTAAAAGAAAAGGAAAAGGCAGACCAAAAAAAGTTAAATTAGCATTATCCAAAGATTAGAATACTTGTAAGATTATATTTTTTGCTAGCTTATTTTGTTTCTTTTTGTGTCGAACTCTGTTTTCGTCGAACTGCTCTTTTGTCTTCTCCATAATATCAATGTTTTGTGAAGCTAAATCCTATAGGTAAAGTGAGACCACATAACTGGTCAATGAGCCTCAGTTAAAGGACTATGCAGTGCCATGATCTGCTAATTTTCCGGGATCAATTGTGTTATGCAAGAAAAAATATAGCTTTTTGGAGGATCAGTTGTGTTATTATATAACTAATTAAAAATTATTAGAAAAACCGGGATCATTTGTGCATTTTTTCATGAAAATTAGTACATGGGATCAATTGTGCTAAATTTCCGGGATCAAAAATGTAAGTGTCCATATATTTATGTATATATATATATATATATATATATATAGAGAGAGAGAGAGAGAGAGAGAGAGGCAGAGGCAGAGCCAGAGTGACCGTCTAAACTATAAATAATAAAGATAATCTCAAAGTATTACTTTTTCTTTTGTAATGTTGTTATAAAGTGTATACATTAAGCACATAACTATCCTTTTTTTTGTACTCTATCTCTAAAAATGGTACTTAAAATGTAATGCAACGTAAAATGACATCGTTTTTTCGTAAATCATTCAACTAATTGAGTACTAACAACAATCATTGATTTACATGTCAGACCGAACTTTAAACTTTAAAAGAGACGATTCAAAGCATCACAGACATTGACAGCTATTAGCTACCAAAGTGCACTTGAAGTGCACACTAATTTCTAAGTTTTATAAATTGTCAGAGATACCTTCTTTCATATAAAATGACAGCTGTCATGCATATCGAACTATCGTCTAAAAATTGATGAGAAACCTGTTCAGAAAAGCATTTTTTTATCAGATTTCTTTCGTTTCACTAAAATACGGATGAAAAAATGATGACTAGGAGCATTTCCGTCTGTATTTTTTCAAAAGAAAAAACAATGTTTTTGTTGGTTTCTAGATGGAATCAAGGTAAAACAGTCTTGAACTCTTTCTTTTGTTTGCTCTGATATAGTCTGTCACACACATCTAGAAACAAATTCAATTAAAAACTATTTATTAATATAAAGAGTTCCTTTTCTTTTAGAATAAATGAATTTAAAAAATTTTCGATTCTTATGAAGAGAAAGTCTCACTTAGGGTCCCCCCTGTCAAAAACTAATTTTTGTCCAAGAACATCCGCTCTTAATGACATTTTCATAGAATGTGTAACTAGACAGCTGACAGTAAAAATTTAAGCTTAAAATATTGAGTATTCCAAGTTATCCTAACAGTAAGAATTAAAAGGTAAGTATCCATCCGTAAAACATTTTTCATCCAATTCTAATGATACAGACTTCGGGTTGGTGTCAAAATGTAGCCAAGACTTGCCGGTACAACTTAACAGAGTCGGATTTTTGAATTTTTTTTGTTTAATTCTTCCGAACACATTCAGAGACATGTGCGACATATTTTTCAATAACTGAAGTTTTCACAAAAAAAACAATCAATTTTTCTCATTTTGAGTGTTTCAGGAAAACTTCTACACATTGGAAGTTATCCATGTATAAATCTCAACATCGATACTTCTGCCGAAAATCACCTTTTTTGGTAGGAAGGGGGGGGGGGGGAAGGTTGCGGAGGCGCGTTAAAAATACGAATAAATAAATTACTTAATACGATTCTCTTTTTGAGATATTTTGTATTCCAGAGCGAAAGGTGTAAGAATTCATCTTATTACTGCTTACACATTGTTGAAAACGAATAAAGAGAAAGATATTTTCTCAGTCACAGGATTGAAAAAAAAATGAGCAATATGAGTGTATATATATATATATATATATATAATTATGAATATAAAACCCTTGAACTTGGTATTTGGATAAACCATGTCAGTATTAATGAAAAATAATTAAAGATGGAAAAGTTTTCTTATCTATTCATTCTTCTTTTAACATTCATAAATTGAGCATTAAAATAAATTTTCACACATTTCAAAAGATTGTATGTCACCATCATTCGAGGAGATTATTAACTATTTATTAGAAAGCTTATCTTTGTCAGAAGAAGTATGATGAAACGCAAGGTTAATTACAATAATGGTAAGTTTCTTTCGATATATTATTCTAGAGATGAATAAAAGAAAAATAGTTTTCAAGAAAACGTAAACTAGACAATCCATCTATCCACACATCTATATATCTTACAAACGACAGAGTTATTATTAAAAAACAATTAATTATATAAAGAGTTAAGAGAGAATAGGTGAAAAAAAAGAAAATTTTTTATTGTTAAATTTAAAATTTATTTTTAACAAAAATATTTTATTACTCACATTATAATGATTGGACATCATACATCTACATAAACGTCAAATTGATAATAAAATATTCGCTGCTACTATCAGATAATCGCGCAATATTAACAAAGAAGTCGTTATATTTTTGTCATAATGTTGTTGTTGTTGTTGTTTTCGATCTTGTTTCGTTGTCTATTTCTTATACGATTAAATATTATTGCCAAACGATCTGTCCATAACAAACTGTCTTTTTGTTGTTTTGTAGTATTAAATTACTCTCCTATACATTCGCTATGAAAGATCTTTTCTTTTTTTTTTTTTTTTTTTTTTTTTTTTTTAAAAATTGTTTTTCCCAAAACCGGATCGTCAGAGATCTATGGGCAGCTGCCATGGTCATATTCGGAATCAGCATAGTCGATAACCTATAATCCACTAGATTTCGTCTCAAAAGCGATTGAACAGTTGGGAGCCTTCCCTCGTTAGTTTAAAGACTATTATTCTTTGTGTTTTTTGCCGTTTATATCGGTTTTCCGACCTTCCTTATTGTAAAAAAGTCGAGTATTGTACAAGGTGAGTACATAACAGTTTCAAAGAGAAGAAGAGAGTAAGTTAAGAGAAAGAACTCCTAGTTTCTGATAGTCAGAGAGTTGAACTAATCTTCTTTAATCAGTTTATGGAATCAAGACTGGGTATTTGTCTCACATAATGCATCCAGTCTAAGGCATCTTCTTCTGTATAGGCTCAGTTAAATTAAGTGACTGTAAGATCTCAAAACAAAAATGCACAGGAGTGAGAACACGCACTCAAAGATTGATGTCTTCACAAATGTGAGTATCCTCGGTGTCAGATCGGCTTGCTGTTAGTGGCTTTCAGGATGTAGCAAAGATTAGGTCGGTCCTGTTTGACGCACAGTGGATTGGGGCTAAGCCATTCCGCCTCATTCGTAGGATGCCAGAATGGTTCTAGCAAGCAGGATGCCAGAATGGTTCTAGCTTCTTCGGATATAGATTCTCTGAAAGGCCAAGCGTGAGTGCTCGATGTTTCACATGCGACAAACGTAATCTTATCGGTAAAACCCACAAATGTACTAAGAGACATCAGCCTCTCTCACTTTTATTTTATGGTCAAGTCACGATTAGGCGTGATTTACTTGGGATATTCCTTTGAGAGTAAAAGCTTCCAAGCAAAAAAAGATTTTTGGGTCTAACCTAAGCTAACTAAAAAGGAACATTTACCTAGCTTGAGCGACCTTAGTATTTCTTTATAGCTAGAGTACTGTGGGGAAAAAGAGACATCTTTTCAATTTTTTGTCGTACTTTTATTAGCCCTCAGTCATTTTTGGTCGGAAAAACTTGCTA